AAAAAGTGATTTTTGTTGGCAGAACAGGAAGGTTCTTCCCATTTGTTTCTTGCAGAAACAAGCTTTCACTTGTATGAGTTTTCTCTGTGTATATATATATATATATATACACACAGCAATATATATATATTACCTATATATATTAGATGCTGCAGTTATACAGCTAAAAAAGAAATTGCAATTTTAGAAGTGAGAGCAGTTGCATGTGAGCAGGGATGTGCCAGGAGCATTCAGACTGCTGTATTACTAACTCACCAAGAGTCCATTTTTCTCTCTTCGGGAGACAGGTAACATGTATTTAAGAGAGATAACTCACAGGGAGACATTCATATCCTACAAAAAGAGAATTGGCCCCTCTGAGTTGCTAAGTAGTACAAAATGCACATTATTGATTAATTACCATTACATTTGCTGTTTCTCCTGGATGGTAACATCACTTGGCAAGTCCTATGACAATTTTACTTCTTCACATCTACCTTTAGAGACTGCTTAGACTTCTGCATTTCTATTCAGCCTATACTCACAAGAAGAAGTCCTGACTACTTGTGTCTGCACAAAGGGCTTTCCCTAAGCAAGAATTTGTCTACCCTGTGACTGAAGCTCAAGCAGGAATTAGTTGTCAGACATGGCCATATGGTATGGAATTCAAAAAGCTCTAATTTACCTGAGGCTCTGTGCTCCATATTGCTGTGGCTGTGTTGCTGTCAGTACTCAAAATAGCTAGTTCAATGCCAGCTTGAGCACAGCTAACCAAGCAGCAGCCGTGCAGTTGTCTACGGACCTGACTTGCCTTCCAGATCATGACTTTATTTCATGCTAAACTTGGGTTAAACAAGGGAAAGGCAAGGTTGTTCCCTAGCTATTGCTGCAATGCAATCCTGCTGTTACTAACAGCCTGCTGAAGAATATGGGGATGGGTAGCCAATCAATAGGCACTTCAAAGAGGCAGAGCGATGTGGCAGATGCCAGTAGGAGATTAACTGTTCCCTAGTTACAAAATCTGCAGCATAAACTCAGTAGGCGACACAGCTGGGACAAAGCAGAGCAGAAGAAACATTCTAGGTATATACAAAAAAGGGAGGGATATATATATATATAAAAAAAAAACTCAAAAAAGACTCTCCACAGAGAGGCTCGTTCAAACCACTTGGGGAAAATGAAGGGTAATAAACTGTAAAACAAAGTGAGATGACTGATTGCAAGAAAGAGAATGAAGATGAGAGTGAGTGGAGGAAAAGAGAGTAGACTCAGGACTGCTTGGTGATGAGGAACGCATGCCCAGGGTCCGCGGGAATAGCGCCAGAGAAAGGATAGGAACTGCCAGGGCAATGTGCTTTACTGGCAGGGCCTGATGCATAAGGACTATGAATTATCTCCCCTGAAAGCATGGCAAAAACACCACCCAACTCAGTATCCTGAGGCTGTTGAAAGCTGGAAGAGAGTTTGAAACAAGAACAGATAGTCAAATGGTCATTGACGGAAAATCTGTGCTCAGAGAAGTAAGGAAAACTTAGCAGAAACACCGATGTTGTGGTCCAAGATGTGCTTTGTCCTGGGAGTGATATATTATGCACTTGACAGAAGAAGTTGGCAGAAGCTGATTAAGGTGTTGTCTCCCTTGGGGCCTACCATGTCCTTCAGCACAATCAAGAGCTGAGAGAAATTAAATTTACTTTCAGAGTTATCGAATTTCTTCTTTTTTTCCCCTTATTTTTCTTAATAGAACAATGTATGTGTTGGCTTACCCAAAGGTTTAGTAATGATCTCTTCTGTATGAAATGTTGTTCTCTGCCTAGATCTCTTTTAGGCTGAAGAAAGTCACTTTTTATTTTTAGAGGTGTACTGCTCTACTGCAGTGCTTTCAAGGTAGTCTTAATGGTCTTCTATCACAATTCATAGTTGTATAACTTTACATTTAAGGATTTGATGTTCTCTGTGTTCTTATCGCAAAACTTACAGCTCTGTAAATCTTTTGAGTCAATTAGTTAAGCAGTAAGTGACTTTGTTATTATGCACTGTGGGCGGTATCTTTTGAAATAAATTATCTGAAGAGCTACACTGAAGAAATGAGTCTGAAGGCAATCAATTTGCCACCGGCTTGCCTAGGCCCAGTCAATCCTAACAGTCTAGCCATCCCACGGCAATGATGTGAACCTTGATAATGCCAACCCTTCTCATTCCTGTAACTCAGATAAAATTTATATATTGACTCAGATAAAATTCAAAAGTAGGTTTCAGGAGTTGAAGGTCAGCAGAACATATCATATCACTTTTTTTTTTTTTTCTATGCCAGTTAAATGCAGAATGCTTTAAATATCTGGAGACAGCACATTTCAAAATCACAGCCAGCAACAGCAGACTTGGTTAGTTACTAAATTTGTGACAAGGCTCCATGGAAAGCATCAGGTATGAAAGGCAGTAGATCATGAAAAAAGTAAGAAAAAAACAAGAAAGTAGATTGTGAAGCCAGTGAAAAGCTGAGAGAAAAAGAATAGTCTTCAAATATTAAAGTAGTGTTCCTTTTATACTCTTAGATATACGTAGTATATAATAAGAACAGATAAATGTTTCTTGTAATGTTAATGTGTTGCAAGTGATTCACGTCTGAAGAAGGACTTGTGAGCCCAGGAGGCTGGCTGCCTTACTCAGTTACATGAACTGGGCAAATGAGAGGTATTATTCCTTCCCCAAAGGTCTGCCCTGCGCATTTTTGAGATAAATGTAGCAGAGGACATATGCCATCTGATTTTTTTTTAAAAAGGTAGGGTAAAGCAAAGTTTTTCCCTCAACAAGCCAAGGAATGTAGTGCTATGAGTATCTGTGGATACACAGGCCCTGTCAGTTCCCTAGACTTGTCTATCTTATTGGGCGGTATCAGCTAATGCCTATTATTGTGGTAATAAATACTTATACTGTTATTGTAGTAACAACATTCCAACTACCGCAAAGATACAAAGGCCTTTCTTTACTCATACATTCATAACCTTGGCAGCTGAACCTGGGCCTAAGTTATCCTCCTTTCCTAACAATTCAATTATATTAAACAGCTCTTTGAAACGATATAATGCATAATATTTGCTGCATTATGCTGAAATGTTATTTTAGGCAGGGTAGGATTCACTGAAAAAAAATAGAAAAAGGAGAGAAAAAAAGGAAAAGTGAAGATGTAAAATATTTTAGAAACAGCTACGTGGCTTTTATTTCAGAGTGGAAAAGAGTGGCAATGCCAGGAAAACATAAGCAAAGAGCTGAATGGAAAGATGATGCCAAGAAAACTCAAGCACGTAGAAAACTCAGGAGCTGAAATGTGATTACAGAGAAATGAAAAGGGAACAGGGTCAAAGGAAACACTTAAGAAAGAAATAATGGACATCTGGGAAGCAAGGAAATGTAAGGTTGAGAAAGAAATTTAGGAGAAAAAATAAAAAGGGGACAGACAGAGAACAGGGAAGGGGAGAGTTTGTAGAGATTATGCTAAACGGAAAGGTTATACTCTTTTGCATTTAACCACCATTATCCAAAAATGGTGATTAAACTGATGTGTCACTGTCAGCTTGCTGCTGCCTGACCACGGTTGTGCTGATCAGAAAAACCCAGGTAGGAGGGAGAAAGATTGTTCCTCTGTAGCTCAGTCTTGTTCGCCAGTTATGTAGTGTTTGCTTCATCAGTGAAACAGTAATTCTATTTGTTAGTGCGGGAGCTGCAGTAATAGCTACCATGATTTGTTGAGGACAACCTCTTCAGAAAGTCGTGCAAGAACATTTCAGGTTTCAGAGGTCCACGCAGAATCTAAATGGGGACCGAGAGGAAGTATAAATGTTTTCAGGCCATTATGGCCAATTATGCAGTGTGCTGAGGAGCACTGTTACTCCCCCGGCATTGCCTGGAAAACGATGGGATCTGCTTGCTGGACAAGCAGGGCTGGGAGGGAGATGTGCTCTGCCACCCGCGGCTTGCACTCAAAGCCCTCCTCCAGCGGCGAAGGGCTGCACGTTAAATAAGTGAAAGCTTAAAATCTGCGAGTGAAACCCATCCAAGAGAAGCGTGGACGTTCTGTTATGAGAGACCCGAAGCTCTTTCGGCTAACCCTCAGTTGCTACGAATCAAGCACAGCCTCACAGACTTCACAGGGGTTTTATTTCCTGTAAACATGAGATTACCCATTTTAAATTAAATGTCAGAGGCAAAGCATCACCCTGTTATTCTAGATTTGTGTTTTCCAAGATTTTTAGAAAAAACTTCTGAGCGCGGAAGATTTTTAACTAGCAACAATTTTTTTTTCCGTGGCCTTGATTTGCTGGTCGCCACTGCTCGTTCAGCCCCGGGCGAGCCGTGGGGCCGAAGGGGGCCAGAGCCAGGTCTCGCTCCGGCATCTTTCACAAACGACAAGGCGCAACCACAGGTGAGCCCCGCAAACCGGGAGTCCTGCGGGCGAAGCGCGGGGCGAGCGGGAGGAGGGAGGCACCGCTTCGCTGCGGGAGGCGGCGAGGGCGGGCGCCGGGCGGGTAACGGCTGCCCGCG